CCTGCCATAGTGACGTCTGCATGGGACCACCAGCCCTCCCACTGCAGGGACTGTCCAAGGAGGACCCCACAACCAGTGCCAAGGGCCTGCCCAGCTGAGATCCCTGCAGGCACAGCAGCTCCTGGTGCCACATATGGTGCCGGGAGGAGCTGGGGCTCACAGGTCTCTCAGCAGCAGTGGTGGCACAGAGGGGCTGAGCATGGGATGGCCATACCTTTATGGAACGTGGAAGTAAACCCATGGTGCTCTTGCAGACCTCTGTGGTGTCTTTGCTGCATGCCCACCAATCAACCCTACTCAGATCATCCTTCTCGGGCAGCCAGGTTGTGTCCCCTGCATGCCCTGAGGGCTAGTACATGGCTGGGGACGGGCACTGTGCCTGCCTGCCACCCAGGCCGGCAAGCCACAGACCTCCGGGCCATGCAGCCCTTCCTAGTACCCCACGAGGATGCTGCAACAGGGGACAAGGAGGGAGCAAGAGCTGGGCCAGACACCTGGTGGGCTGTGCACCAGTGCTAGCAGTGACGGCCACATTCTCCTGCTACAAATTCAATCCCAGTGCTAACGTAGTCGCTGGTGTCCCTTGCCATGACAACGGTGGGGCAGGAATCATGGATACAGCCCATCCCAGGGCAGCAGCGGAGCCACAGATGGGATGTGGGGCAGATAATTCCTCCCTCATTTATCCCCTTCCAGCTCTAAGACCCCCAGCCACAGCTCTCAGGGGCAGTTGCCCAGTGAGCTCGGGCAAGTGGCTTGGGGTAGGGAAGAGCCTGGACCACCAGGCACCCAAACCACCTCAGGGATGGGTACTTTCCCCCCAGCAGTGCTGCATACCTGTGCCCTTTGCTGAACTTCTGGGCCCAGCACCCCACAGCGTTGTCCCACCTGGTGGGGGAGATGCTGGAGGTCAGCACGGGAGTGCTGCTGGGCAGTGAGGCTCTGCGGACCAGGCAGGGAGGCTGAGGGGCTGCAAAACTGGGTGACTGCAGCCATGGTGCTTCATAGCCCGGGCAGGAGGGATTGCATCCCTCAGCTGGTGCCCGATGACACCACCCTGCACCCCACACTCCAGGCAGGCACTGCCCAGGTGTACATCACCGCCACAGCTGAGTGAGGCAGGGAGATTGCCCCATTTTGCAAGGGGGGACACTGCAGGGGGCACTAGTAGCCCACAGGCCTGGGCCAGGGTTTGCTGGGCACCAAGCAGTTCTTGCTACCTGGCAGGAGGAAGGCTGCAAACAGCCCCCACTGAGACTCGCAGTAGTCTTGGATGGCACTGCTGAGGCGATGGGCAGCACAAGGCTTGCCTGGTGCTCCGACCCCTGCAGAGCTGACATGGGACTCCCCGAGAACCTATGCTGTGGGGTGAGATGCTGGTGGATGCTGTTGAAGGCAACTGGGCATCGCAGCTCTCCATCCCCTGGACATGTCCCCTCAGGTTGGGGGATGGAGCCATGGAGGGGCCAAGTCACGCTTGCCTTGGCCACATGCCTGGGACATAGCCTGCACTGGGATGTGGGCCCCAGCACAGCAGTCCCCCTCTCTGCTTACCCCGTGGTGGAGGCCAGCTGCCTATGTCTGCACCTTTGCAGTCTGGCTCATGCTGCCTACGCTCTGCTCTGGGACGTGCTGCACCTCCATCGGCTCTACCATCTCAGCGCCTCAGCTGCTGCTGGGAGAAGATGAGCACCTTTACTGCCAGCAACCAGCTCCTGAGCACTGTCTGCCAGAGGTGAGGCACCACGGGCACGGATGGAGGAGGGAGGCAAACACTCAGCAGTCAAGCCATTCCCTCGCAGATGCTCATAGCCTGGTAGTGGCCAGGAGCCATACTTCTGGCCGTGCCAGCTGGCTCCTTGCTCTCTGCAAAGTGGCTTTTCCTGCTCCTCCACTGCAAGGTACATGATGCCCACAGTGCACAGACCATGTGGATCCAGGGCCACCAGCTGCTGCTGCTCCAGGTCAGCACCTCAGAGGGCAGGGATGGTGCCCACCTACCTGGGCATGGGTGTACAGAGGAGCTGGGGGCTCCCTCCACAGAAGTTCATCTTCTTGCAGGTGAGCAGAATCGCTGGCACATCCATACCACATGACCGGAAAGGGAAGCTCTTCCAGTCCACCAGAAGCCTCAGTTTGTGGTCATGCCACGAAACCATGTGCTCCACCACCTCCAAGTGATTTTACCTGTCCTCCAGGTCTATCATCGCACCACAGACAAAGCAACAAAAGCAGTGGCCAGGATATCATGGGCCTCGGGTAGCAGATGCATCTTACAAGATGAGGGAGAGGGGACCGCCTTGCAGGTCACCCCATCCGGAGCTGGAAGGGTACTGGAGATCGGCAGGGTGAGCTGCAGTGAGAGAGGAAAAGCCCACTCCTGGCATCCTGGCTTATCCTGGCATAAGCCCCTGTGTATCCACACTGCATTCAGGAGTGCTAATAGAGGGCAACAGCCTCTGAAACCATCTCCCACCTGCTCCCCTTCCAAAACTGGGGACTCCTCTGCGTGCCTGGGCTGGGTGGCAGATCTTCTCCCACAACACCCCAGCTATCACTCCCTGAACACCCTAGCCAAGCCCAGCCTAACCATTGGCAGCTCTGATTTGGCTGGCAGTAGCCAGAGGCACCCAGGACTCGCTAGCCCAACCCAGCCAGGCATCCCCTGGGGAAAGAAATGCCCTAGGGCTGGACCCTAGAGCCCAAAGGGGTTTAAAGCTCTGCTGGTTTCTCCCGAGGCTGCTAGGCAGGGATTTGAGCAAGTTTAAGGATGGGCAAAGCTTCAGGAGAGGGGGAGCAGGGCAGGTCAGGTCATGACTCAGCAGATTTGGGGATCCACTGGATCCAGGCTTGCTTCCTGAATGAAAAGGATCTGAAACCTTTTTCTAGAGCATGACAGAGGCACTCTCCTCTCCCAAACCAGCTCACAGCCATCTTATTAGCAGGACACAGTAAACCAACATCCAAAAGCCCTGCTCAAAAACCAGTTTTGCTCCATCCCTCTCCAACCCAGGGAAGGCAATAAAATTGGTGCTTTGCACTGGCCAAACACTATTTTTCTCCTGACCTCAGGAAAAGTTGTAGCGTTAAAGAGGACAAGCTCCACAGCACAGCCAGCTCACTCCCCTCAAACCAGAACAAGAGGAAGCAGTGCTGAGTGCTCTGAACCCCAACCACACAGCAGGAGGAGAGGAACAGTCCCCCATGGAAGGGCTCTTCCACAAGTTACTCGCAAGGAGTATTTAAAGGCGAACACAGCAGGACCGCAGCATTTTCAAATTCAATAGCAAGCCTGTGCTCATCAGCACCAGCTTAGATGCAGGGCATCAGAGGGGAGAAGTGGGCGAGAACATGAAATAGCAGAGGTGGACACAATGCACAGCTGGGCACAACAACAGGACTAAAGTCTTAAGTGATGTCATCTGCAAGAAGCTAAACGCACTGTGGATAAAAGGAGCCTGCAGCTAGTATTTCAACCTTGCCTTGCAAGCTATTTTTGCTTAGATTGCCAAAATGTAATTACAGCTAAATCCCCCTAACAAATATCAGAGAACAGCAGGGGAGAGCTGTATTTAAAAGGAATTTTAAGTAGCAGCCATAGTAGTACCTGATCGCAGCAGGAAAAACAAACTGTGCCTGTAATAGAGCATTTGTTTGAAAGCCGGTGGCAAACAAGCGGCAAGGAGAGGAATGGGACTGTGAGGTCTCACGAAATATGAAGAGGGACACTGTGCCCTGCCACCCTGTCCAACTGCCCACCAGCAGGCACGAACTGCCTGACCATGGGGAGCAGTTAGTAATCACTCACTGTGCTGAACATTTCTAGAGACGTCCTAGGACTGACATCCTCAATGGAGTAAGGGAAAACAAGCCATTCAGAGGGCTGTGAATATTTTAGACTGTCCTGGCTGCTTTCAGTCTAGAGTCCAATAACACAGGGAATTTGCAGTCGGAGTCATGAGGCTGAAAGTCCCCTGGTCCCCAAGGCTGCTAATTGTCCCAGACACAGGCTGCCAGCTCTGCAGTCACTACCAAATTGGTCCAAGAAGCCTCTTTGCCCAGGGGACTGTGCAGAACGCCTAAGGCAGGAGTTGTGCCCCAGCTCTGGCTGCAGGTGTCCCCCCCCACCCCACTGGTTTAATAGCATCAGTGCAAAGGTGCTATTAAAAGTGACAAGCAATTGTACAGTTCCCCAAGGAAGGGGGGAAAAGGCTAGAGCTGTTAATGAGTACAATTAGCATTGTAGTTGAACACAATCAGAGGAAATAATTAGCTCCTATTGTTCCTGTGGCATCTCAGTTGCAGACATGCTGGCTTTCCAGGTAACAACCCATCAACCTGGCCTTGCCCAGGAGGACAAGAGACAGGGGGACACTTGCTTCCCTTGTCATCCTCATCATAGCTTTCAAGCAGCTGTAAGTGACAAAGCCTAGGCCATCATCCTCTTCTGCTGCAGCCACTGGGGCAGCCAGCTTCCCAGATGGTTGAGGACTTGCAAAGCTCAGGACAGTACACCACAGCTCGGCCACCCACACAAACACTCACGGCCCTGCATTCAGCCTTTCTGTGAACCCAACACCAGGTAGAGCTATCGATTCTCCACCGAGAAAATCGAAGTCAGGGCAATTAATTGACACCAAACACCTTCTTGTCCTAGTTTAAAAGCGGCTTGCACCCCTATCCCCAGCAAGGAGGGCTGGGTGCACAGCCCTATTAACCACAGAGCATAAGTAAGGGGCAGGAACAAAGGAAGTATCTCCTTTTTAAGCAAGGTGTTGTATCCATCACTCTTGTGCCCACATAATTCCACAAACACCGTGGAGCATGGGCAATATGGGCACTTGGTGTGCTTTGCTGCTTCAGAGAGGGGCCATGCAGGTGGCAGCTCAGGGGAAGATGCCTCATGCAACTAGCAGAAGCAGACCTGAAGTCTTACCACAGACTAGAAAAACACCATCTCTCTAATTTTTAGACAAAGCAAAAAAAAAGAGAGACCGAAAGAAACAAAGAGACCCAATAATTTATTGGCAGAGCTGAAAGGGGCGCATTTGCAAACCATGGGGCTGACTCTCAACTGGGAAGCTCCTCCCAGCTGCAGAGAGATTTTTAATACTGGTATCCCTCAGCAAAAGGCTCTGACGTCAAGGCAGAATCCCAGAGATCCTGCATGCCGTGTAGAGAAAGAGAGGAAAGTGCTGCAAGACGTGGCCTCAAGGGCACGCTGCTAATTGAAAGATTGGCCTCCCGCCCCACTGCTAAAAAAAAGTTTGTGTATGACAAGATCAGCCTCTATTATCACCGCTGCTGGAGGGCGTCGGATGGATCCTTCCTCCAAGGAGGAGTGTGAGAGAGTGGCCCATGAGTCCCTTCAGAGGTCGGAGGGCACTGGTGGAGACCTCTCAGTGCTTTCAACACGGAGAGAGGAGCTTAGTGCCAACTCTTGTTCTCACAATGTGATTTTTGTATTTCGAAAGCTTGAATTATCTCTGGAAAACAGAGGGAAGAAAAGGGTTAAAGATGTGCTTTCCTTCAGATCACAGTGCCCCCACTCCACCCAGCAGGGCTTACAAGTGTTGCTATCCTCGTGCTGCCACCCCAATCAATGCTAGTTAAACCTCCTGAGTAGATCTACTGTCTATCCGGAGACTTTCCACTTAAGCCAAACTGCTCTTCCAGAACACTGGGAACATAAGGAGATTCTGGTTCATCCCTCAGGAAGCAAAAAGCTGATATTCCCTGTGAGCAAAGGATATGATAGGCACTGATAAACCTCCCCGAGGTATCTTAAACAACTCGCAAGGCCTCTTCCTTCCCAAACAGTTGTCCTCAGGGACTCTGTCTGGAGCACAAATGTAATGACAGTGCATCCTCTCCTACCTCTTGTCCCTCTTATCTAGGCTCCTTTTGTCATGCTTTTAACAAGTTTAGGCATCTGGTTTCTCCTACCTTAAAAGAACATTTAATCCGAGAAGGACATTTTCCCCAAGTTTAAATAGATTTTCCAGCAGCTTTTACTCACATAAGTACTGCCATGCGAGTCACAAGGGTTACTGACACAGAAAGGACTGCTGGTCCACAACCTTCATTTCTATAGTCTTGCAACATACAGCAGTGATTGAAGATGGGGCAGGACCCAACACAGAAACCTGTGTTGATGCTTACCGCTAACCTGTGAGCGGCAGCAATAGGCAAGGCACATTTACACGTTAATAGCTTTTTTTTTTTTTTTTTCTCCTTTTTAACCCCAAAGGGAATTAAGTGAGATCACAATTATTTTGAGAGGATGGCTTTGGCAGCTGTCTGACTATGCATCCCTTCCCCTAACAGGGACAGGGCAGTTAACCAACCACCCAAGGATGCCCAGCACACATTAAACCAAATTGGCAGAGCTTTGCTGGAGAGCAAAGGCAGCTCGAAGCTTCGGAAACAAAATGGATTGTAGAACTGTAAAATCCTGCTTAAACCCTTGACCCTGCCACTAAGAGCCATGTGGTAGTTGCAACATCACAGCACAGTGCATGCTTGAACATCTCCAGGAGGCAGGCTGGAGAGCTGGAGGAGCAGAAAGAAGTCAAAAAACACTTTAGGGAGTTAAATAAGTTACTTTGCTATTATTTGACAGCAAAACCCATGCTGGAGGTCACCTGCAGAAGACTGGGGATCACCTTTGTAATTGTGAGCAAGGTAGGCTGTACTGCAATTTGGGAACATGATTCAGGATTCATTAACTGGATTGCAGTTAATCTCCAACAGTGGTTCGGTTTCTCATCCCCTGCTGTACTTTCACCTGTGCTATCTACATTAGAATAGAAGGACAGCATACTCTGGTTACCTCTTTCTTGGACTGATTTCTGCATTTTCCCTTCTTTTGCCTTTATCAGGGTGCTCCAGCCTCCTCTGCTCATCACTACTCTCCCTGGTTAGCATAGGTAACCCAACAGAGTTGAAAGCTAAATGACCTCTATCACTGTTTACCAATAAACTTGGCACATTTACTGCCTTCTAAGACTGGTATTTCGTGAAATGAGTTAGCTTTCCTCTTCTTGAAGGTCACTTGAATGTCACTGAACAATAAAAACACTACTAGGTGCTTGTGTAACATTTTGTAACCATTAATCCTCACAAAAAAGCCAATCCTGTGAGGAAAGACAGACATTATTTTCACCCATGACTTCAGAGCAAGTTAATAGGAGCATTGCTTTCCCAAAGCTGTGGAGGCAGGTTTTGGGAGCACTTGATTCCCAGCGGCCCCTTAGAGCTCAGCTGTGTTTGGGCAGCTACAAACCACCCACGGGGTGGGAACCGGCAATGTAACCCTCCCTTTGAGCAGGTTCCTGTGCTCTGGGACTCAGCAACAGAGCACTCCCACTCAGCTATGACCAAAACACAACTCTCATCACTAAGCCTTGTGCTAGCCCTTTTTAAGGGACCTGCCATCAGGTAAGTGGGTAAGAGGTGAAAAAACAATGTAGGCTGCGAGGCTTACAACAGCACTGAGTTCACCTCAGCTATTTTCTCTGTATATGGTTGGTTGCCATTAACAGAAGTAACGGGTGGTTTCATCTCGTTAGCCACAGCACTATTATATTTAAATACAGTAGCTACAGTGTGCCCTTCCTGAACATGCTTTTATTTTTATTCTGCCCCAGCCCACTGTCAAGAGCAAAGGCACATATGCCAAGCTCTAGGCGCCTCTCTGTGTCATCACATGGATGTGCTTAACAATCATTTACTGCTCCATATCTGCTAACAGTCAACCCTAGGCAACAGACCCAAGCTGAAGACATACCTCTCAGCCTCCTGGGACCAGGTCTAGGACATAACTGCCTTTCAGAGATGGAGGATACATTAACAAAAAAATGCTGAGTGAATGGACACCACTAGGAGTGTCGGTGTCTTTGGTCCAAAGAATCATTTTGACCTTTGGGAAAGAGCCAGCACCGGGCCCACAAGGCAAGAGGAGACGCACCAGCCCACAGGAAGAGGGTGAGAAGCTGAGAGGTATGCCATGCAGTCACATAGGAAGAAAGATGAGGCCCTACCCTGGGTGTGACAGAGGGAAGGGGAGCGTTCGATCAGCGGCCACTGCTGTTCACCAGGCCATGAAACTCCTCCCAGGCCCTGGCAAGCCAGAGGGAAAAAAAATAAAAAACAAAAAAAAACAGCACTTCAGATCAAATGCTTCTTAACTTTTAACGAGAGCAGAAACATTCAATGGCGTTTGAAAGGCACTTGTCTTCAGAGAGCAAGGCAATATTCTCTGATAGCCCTAGTGGATAGAAGCATCCTTAAAACCCAGCCAAACATCTGACAGCACAAGGCAGCTTTAAAGTTCTGCACAGACACGAAGCGTTCCCACTGGCTGCTGGTGATATAGCTACATTAATACCCAGAGACAGGTATGACCTTCCCAGGCACAAATGGAATATCTATTTCCTATTGCTAATAAAATAGACGATGTTACATATTTCTGGAAGATTATCACATTCCTTGGCTGGTTAAACTCAGCCAGTTACTTGCCTCATGTTTTACCACATACCTGCATACGTAGTAATCCCCCCAAAAGGCACTTTTTTTTTTTTTTTTCCCATGCCTCACAGCTTAGTTATTAGGCCATTCTTCGATCAGGCAGCCAAATCCAATTGTTACTAGAAAGTCTCATTTCCTCTTGTAAACCTGCACTGTTAATGACAACCACAATAAAAACACTACAGCTATTTGAAATGAAAATGTTTGTAGATAAGTTAGAGGGACAGGCCTAACGTTGCATTCCCTGGTGGAGAATCTGTTACTTATGGACGAAGCTAGCAGACTGAAAAATTGCTGTCTGTTTTACGAAGGCAGCATACTGAAAGCCCTCTCAGGGAAAAGATGCTGAGGTTAATGCGAGCACGACTATTATCTTCTGGGATCAGTGACATGAAAAAAACCTCATAGTTCTCTGCGCCCAGCAAAACAGTGCAGGTGCTTACAGCATACACCAAACCATTTACAGAACCCAAAAAGCCCCGCAGAGCTGGACAGAGCTTAAAGGGAACCCAGGCCAGTCATAAACCCAGTCTGCTCCACAGATTTAGTTGCTGGTACTTGCCAGCCACCTCAAATCTTGTTTTCTGAACTGCCTCATCAGGCCCCTGCAACATGGCAGGAGAGTCCAGAAATGGACATGCTGCATTAGTCATCACCTGTGCCTGAAACGAACCCACAGGCTGGCTCCTATCTATACCTCACAGAGTCAAGCACCCATTCAGCACTTGCAAAAGCACTTTGTT